GGAAAGAGTCGTCTTCTGCAGTATAAAGTCCCTGTCTACGCGGGCGAATTGCCCGTGTTCAAAGTCTAACGGCAGGAGGCTATCGAATGCAATCTCCACGAAAGGGATGACTTTTACAATATATGGGCTGATTGCAAATAAGTTACTAATAAGCCGCTTCGGCTTAAGAACGGCTCTATACATTATTTCCTAAGATCTGTTTATTTGCAAGTGTTTCTTTCTTTCTCTGCTTTTTAAAAAGTATTTCGTTCGGGAAAATAACAAAAGTACAGAAGTTAATATTTAGACATTCGTACTATTAAGTAATAGAGCTATAAACGCTCAAATACGGACACTTTCATTTTACTTAACAATAGATAACACAAAAGCAACAGTGGAACAGGCCAAACAAAAGCGATCACCGAAATTGTTGTGACAGTACAATTACCCGGCTAGAAAATTTATTCAATATGCTTTACCATTGCATTGACACAGCAGGAAAAAAAAGCCCAAATGTTCAGAGAATAATACAACAAGGCAGGAGGTATTTGGAAAACAAAAAAGAGATTTATTTTGAAATACACTTTTTAAGAGATACTTTGACTCCCAGATTTGTTATCAATGTGCATCTGACATGACAATACGAAACAAACAAACAAAGAAAACCACATTCTGTACAGAGCTCTAAAATGAGCCGCGAGTATCTACAAGACTAGCTTCACGCTCTCGGGGTGGGTTGGAGAGGGGCCCGATCCTGCAGTCCACACTCTCTAAAGGAGCTTTGCAGACGCGTGGTAGGAAAGATTGGCCCCTGAGCCTGCACGTGTGTCGCGGTGTGTGTACGTACGTCTGTGTGTGTGTGTGCGCGCACGTCTGTGAGTTTCTACAATAGAGTCCTTGAGCAAAATTAGCAACTCGGAGCTGCGGGAGCGGGTGCAGGTCCCTGGCTGCTCTAGAAGTCCTGCCGCGGGGTGTGAGTTAGACTGTGCCGCCGTAGATCACAGTTTCGCCTGAACACTTTGCCGCACTGCTCACAGTTGTAGGGCTTGATGTCTGTATGGGTAAGAAGGTGAGTTTTCAGATTACTTCTTTGATTAAAGGTTCTTCCACATGTGGGGCATTTGTGTGGAGATTCCTGTTCAGATTTGAAGCAAGCAAAGGATTAATCCTTTACAAACTACCTAAGTCATCGACTTTAACGTACTACTGCGCTTTTTCTTATTGCAAAGCATAGCGTGAAATATCGGGAATCGGCACAGATCGAGAGCGGGAGCCCGAGGGGACACCCCGACGTGTCCTGCCGCACAAGTCGCCGCTGCGGCTCTCCGC